GCAGTAGGTGCAGTTGGTGGAGGCGAACATGTGTTGACTATAATAAGAAGTTCATCCCAGGGTGACAAGAAGAATATTACTAATTGGGGACTTCTTTTTGTGGATACATTTGAGTGGCACATTCATAATTATGTATTTTTGATTATATTTATTTTTGTTCAAATGCAATTGGATGAATGATTTTGAAGTTCCCACCATTAATCATATTCGCCTTTGAAGTTACCAACAGGGTAGATGTATGCAGTGGATACGTTTACTACTATTAATACTTACCTTTGTATATATTTTGCTTTTATGTAATTGTGCATAAGGAAATGTTATTGGTTGTCTGTCTCCTCCTCTCCACTTCCTCTTCCCCAAGGTTCTGTCCTTGGACCTTTTGTCCATCTGCACATCTTCCCTTGGTCACTTGATAAACTCTCACTGCTTCTAAAATCACCTATATGCTGATGACACTCAAATCTGCCTCTACTCCTCACCTCACTCTTTCAGTCTCCTCTCGCATTACTAATTTATTCACTGACAATCTTTCTAAAACTGAGCTCAAAAGTGCTACAGGGCAGTCAGTGAGTGGTTATCTCTCCCCTTGACTATTGCAACTCTGTCCTCATAGGTCTAACCCTATGTAGGCTATCCCTTCCCCCCTTCAGCCTATCATGAATGCTGCCACCAGACTCATCCATCCTACCAACTGCTCAGTGTCTGTTACCCCTCTCTGCCAATCCCTCCACTGGCTTTCAATTGCCCAAAAAATAAAATTCAAAATATCAACAACAACATACAAATCCATTTAGAACTCTGCCCCAAGCTATGCCACCAATCTTGTCCCAATATATCACCCAAACTGTCCTCTCAAGACCTCCTGCTCTCTAGCCCTCTTGATTCCTCCATGCTTATTTCCAGGACTTATCCAGAGACTCTCCCATCCTATGAAACTCTCTACCCCAATCTGCCCGGCTATCTCCTACTCTGTCCTCTTTTGTTTTAATTGACCCTCCCTATTAGATTGTGAGCTCCCAGGTATTGAATTGCATTGTAACTGTACTGTCTACCTTTATAATGTAAAGCACTGTGCAAACTGTTGGTGCTACATACATCCTGTATAATAATAATAATAATAATCATAAACCCCAATTATCTCAATTCACACAAACATTACCAAGCCAGTACATACCCTGAAAGAACTGAACCATATTGAATTTATTCTATCACCCTTTGAGCCTCCTCTTAAAAGTGTATCTCAATTCTGTAAAGCTCTCTTACAGTTAGGATGGTCATTCTATCTCTTAAAATAGAGTACATGAGCAGATATCGTAAGACCAAAAAGATAATATTCTACTACTCTTGCATGTCTCCTCCATATCTTCTAACTTGGAAGAAGTAAATTATAAAATACTATCTCGATGGTATAATGCCCCAGCCAAATTACACATAATGTTCCCTGAAACTTCAATACTCTGCTGGAGAAAATGTGATGATAAGATAGTGATGCATGCTGCTATATGGTGGCACTGTCTAATTTTGAGCAAAATAATCCCCCCCCCCTCTGAATGCTGCTAAGTCCTTCATTCCTTTGTTCTAGAAAAAGACAAATGCCCCACCTATATGGTTATGATTAAAAAAATCATATGTTTCCTATGGAAAAACTTACCCACTTACAGTTGCAAGAAAAAGTATGTGAACCCCTTGCGATTACGTGCAGTTTTGCATGAATTGGGCATAAAATGTGCTCTGAACGTCATCTAAGTCACAACAATAGAAGAACACAGTCTGCTGAACATAATACTACATAAACATTAGATATTGCCATGGTTTAATTGCACATAACATGTTAACATTCACAGTGCAGGGAGGAAAAAGTATGTGAACCTTTGGATTTAATAACTGGTTGACCCTCCTTTGGCAGCAATAACCTCAACCAAACATTTCCTGTAGTTGCAGATCAGACCTGCACAACGATCTGGAGTAATTTTGGACCACTCTTCTTCACAAAACTGTTTCAGTGTAGCAATATTCTTGGGATGTTTGGTGTGAATCACTCTCTTAAGGTCATGCCACAGCATTTCAATCGGGTTGAGGTCAGGACTCTGACTGGGCCACTCCAGAAGGCGTATTCTGTGCTGTTGCAGCCATTGTTTTGTTGAATTACTTGTATGCTTTGGGTCATTGTCCTGTTGCATCACCCATCCTCTGCGGAGCTTCAGTTGGCGGACAGATGGTCGTACGTTTTCCTGCAAAATATCTTGATAAACTCTGGAATTCATTTTCCCATCAATGACAACAATCCGTCCAGGCCCTGAGGCAGCGAAGCAGCCCGAAACCATGATGCTCCCTCTGCCATGTTTTACAGTGAGGATGAGGTTTTGATGTTGGTGTGCTGTGCCTTTTTTTCTCCACACATAGTGTTGTGTGTTCTTCCCAAACAACTCAATCTTGGTTTCATCTGTCCACAGTATATTTTGCCAGTAGTGCTGTGGAACATCCAGGTGTTCTTTTGCAAACTTCAAACGTGCTGCAATATTCTTTTTGGACAGCAATGGCTTCCTCCGTGGTGTCCTCCCATGTACTCCATTCTTGTTTAATGTTTTCCTTATTGTAGATGTGTCAACAAAACTGTTAGCATGTGCCAGAGATTTCTGTAGGTCTTTAGCTGACACTCTGGGATTCTTCTTTACCTCATGCAGCATTCTGCGCTGTGCTCTTGCAGTCATTTTTACAGGACAACCATGCCTAGGGAGAGTAGCAACAGTGCTAAACTTTCTCCATTTGTAGACAGTCTGTCTTACCGTGGACACATGAACATCAAGGCTTTTGGAGATACTTTTGTAACCCTTTCCAGCTTCATGCAAGTCAACAATTCTTGATCGTAGGTCTTCTGAGAGCTCTTTTCTGCGAGCCATGGTTCACATCAGACAGAGCTTCTTGAAACCAGTAAACCCAAAACAGGTGTGTGTTTTTTTTTTAAGGGCAGGACAGCTGTCAGCAACACATCCAATATCATCACACTGATTGGAGTCAAGGTTGGCTCACTCCTGGCTCCAATTAGCTCTGGGAGAAGTCATTAAGCTAGGGGCTCACATACTTTTTCCTCCCTGCACTGTGAATGTTTACATGTTATGTGCAATTAAACCATGGCAACATCTAATGTTTGTGTAGTATTATGTTCAGCAGACTGTGTTTCTTCTATTGTGGTGACTTAGATGACGTTCAGAGCACATTTTATGCCCAATTCATGCAAAACTCCACGTAATCCCAAGGGGTTCACATACTTTTTCTTGCAACTGTAACTTGCAACTCACATGAGCACTTTCATAAGGTATGGCTCTGCTGGATTAACTTTAAAACCTCTCCTTCTTACTTGGAAATTGTATAAAGTACATTGTGAATTGAGAACTTCCAATGGTTCTTCTGCTGCATTTGCGGGCAAGTCTCACAACATTCCCCCACCCCCCTTCTTTATTTCCTTCTTTTTTACTCTTCTATTTTCATTCACTTCTTTAAATGTGCACCCAGGTGTCTTCACTTAATAATATTTAAATGGTGCCCATACTATCATTAATATGTACATATTCTCATAAGTAATGTTTATTGTACATTCAGGCTTTAAATTAAAAGAGAAGTATGGCATTTCTTTTTTTAAGACAATTCACACTTACTGTACTAGGTGGATGCAGCATTGGTCCAGAGCTGCATCTGTCCCCCATCGGCTCTAAGTGTGAGAACTCATCGATCACATGACCACTGATCGCTGAGTTCTCACAGTCGCTCTGAGCAGAGAGCGGGACTGTCAGTCACCACTGTATGATCTGGCCTCCCAGAACTCACTGGAGAGCTGGGCTGTGGCGGATGAGGGAGCAGATGGCTCAGGTTCTCAGCAGATTGCTGAGAGCCTGAGCCAGATGCCACTCTAGACTCTGACTTTAAAGTAGTAATCTTTCCCCAGCCTGGAAAGCCTGGACCAACTGAGTGATGTCAGCTGACAGTGGGCTTCAGCCTGCTGTCAGTTGAAAATGGGTCACAGGAGTGCAGAACGAACTACACTCCTGTGATCCACAGGGGGCCAGAATCACTCCTGTGATCCACAGGGGGCCAGACCGAACTACACTCCTGTGATCCACAGGGGCCAGAGATAGAGATGCCTTCTTTTCAGCACTGATATGCCCCACTCTGAGTATTGGTGTACACCCTGAGTATTGGTGTACCTCTGTATACCAGCACAGATCTGGTCTATATTACCTCCAGTTTATTTATCTGTAATCCAGTGGTAATTCTTTAAGAATCTGTAAATGCCATAGAGTGAGAGGCTCTTAAAGTGACAGTAGTTAGAACTACATGAATTTGGTGCACTAGCTGGTAATGTTCCCAAAACTGACACAAATACTGGCCTGAATTAGGCACAGGTAGTTTTAAAGGGACCAACCACCAGAAAGTTATTGTTAAGGCTTTATTGAATTCCTCCCACAGTCCCTTCAGTAAAATCAATAAAAGGCAGTATCATCCAAAAATGTATTACAATGTATCTTATTGCATCTTATATATTTTATTTGTGTTTATTTATTTTCAGAAGCACTCCTGTGTATAATCACTCCAATATGCAGTGATATACCCAACACCTGTGCTCACAGATATACTTGTTAGAGGTATATGACTCTACTATGTTTTCAGGTCAAAAGCGCTTATGTTGATAAACCTATGACACTGAAAATTTATTAATGAAAGCGTTTTTGACCTGAAAGCCTAGTATGATAATTTACCACCATAAGCAAGTAAGATCTACTGGCCAAGATAGGATTTTGTGGCCAGTCTCCAATGTTCTCCAGAGATAAAAGTAGTACTAGGGTGACTACAATGCACCAAGAGGTATACAGTCGTAGAGTGCCAACATGAATGTGTCTGTAGTGAAACACAAAAGCCAATTATTAATCCACCACTTGCTGTCAATTTTAGGAAAGTTGCAAATGCCTGATTCATCATGTACTTTTGAAACTGATGCCAATTTGTCATTTAGTAATATAAGATGTTTTATTCCTCTCTAATAATTTTGTGCTCATAACCTTCTTTAATGCTTCTTTCACATCTTTGTTTCGCAGGCAATAAATAACAGGATTCAGTAGTGGGGTTACCACTGTATTAAAAACATTTAAGACCTTATTTACATCCATTGGATAGGACACACTAGGTCGGACATAAATGAATATGACTGTTCCATACAGAATAATTACAACCGTGAAATGGAAGGCACATGTTGAAAAAGCTTTTTGTCTCCCTTTGGTGGATGGGATTTTTACTATTGAAGATACAATCAGCACATAGGATACAACAGTAAGCAGCAGTGAAGTGAGAATAATACTGCAGGCAAAAAAAAAGACCACAATTTCTTCTAGAAAAGTGTCATGACATGACAGCTTGAGAACAGGTGGGATGTCACAAAAGAAATGGTTGATAACTGTAGGTGCGCAAAATGTCAAGCGAGATATCAAAAGCACGAGGAAGAACACGGATATGAAAGCTACTGACCAGCACGTTATAGTAGCTTGAATACATACTTGACCATTCATGATGGATGGATAACGCAGCGGGTTACAGATAGCTAGGTAGCGATCAAAGGCCATGACTCCCAGAAGGAAAAACTCTGTAGAACCCAAAGAGAAGTAAAAATACATTTGTGAGAAACAGCCAGGAAACGAAATGTATTTCCAGCCAACCAAATTCAACAAGAGCTGAGGAGCAATGGATGATGTATACCAGATCTCTAGAAAAGAGAGCTGGCTAAGCAGGAAATACATAGGAGTGTGAAGTCTTGTGTCTATGCGAACCAAACAAATGATGGCAACATTAGCAGTCAAAGTCAATAGGTAAATGGCTAAGAAAACCACAAAGAGAAATAACTGCAACTCTACAGAGATAGTAAACCCAACTAATAGGAAGAAGTGTGCTGCACTCCTTTGATTTTCCATTATAATCTTCTCCCTGTGAGCATAACGGTGTAAACATTGATCATGCATAAAGTAAAAGCTGTGTACACTTACTTTTATAAGGGTATATATTTTTGCTATGGCAAACATATTACCTGAACCCTGAATACTTCAGTGGCAAATAACACCAGGACGCACCCAGTCTTATTTGACAAGGCAAGAGCCACCAATCAGGGTGAAACTTTACTACAGATAACCACAATGGGGTTGTTTGCTATGTGCTGTGCATCATACCCATTTTTACACTGCTTTTTTAAATAAGCTCATGCTTACTGTATTAAGAAGTTAGAGAAAGGAATATAAAAGTAGTATACTAATTGTGCTGTTCTACTAAAGGGTAGCCAACAGCTAAAACTGACAAAAGAAGCATTGTGTTTCATTTCAAAACTGAATGTACTTCTATGAATAGTTCTGTAAAACAAGTACATAAACATGGTTACAATATGCTTGTTTTCATGTCTCTCACAAATGCATACAATGAACACATTTCTTGCAAACAGCTACCTACAAATGAAATAAATACATTTAAATGAGATCTGGATATATATGTGGCTTTAACAAACTTACAGGCATACGTTTATCAAAGGAGAATGGAGAAGACCTTCACTGGTGTTCTCCAGGAAGCTAAAATGCCTATAGTGGAAGATGAAACATTTTCATTAACAGGACACTCCCTATTTTTGTATAAAGGAATAAATAAAACAGGTGCAGTTGCAGTGAACACCCAATAGATGGCTCCTTACTCAACACAATGATGATATACAGAACACCAATGTTTAATTTATGGCAGATGTAATGTGTCAATCATCTGTAAGCAAATGTACTGTAATGTAAAAATAATACCCTAATGCCATATTGCATTAAAAAGAAAACTGGTCTGCCTATAGGGGCCTTTTGGTTTTATCAAAACCTAAGACTTTTTTTTAGCTAATACCTACTCCAGTATGGAAAGAATGTTTTAAGCTTCACGCCAAACAATATATTTTAAAAGACAATTATAGTGAAAAATAGAAGCATTTCCTCTGCTCAGTTCTAAAATATTACAACTCATTTTTGACACTTACAATGTATTTATTTGAACTATTTCATGCAAAAACAGCACCAAATTTATCAGTGAAGGAGGGATTTTTCTTTCTATTGTTTTTAACCAAGGGTTCAGTAAACTCCACAGCTCAGCCAAGTGTCTGTGCTTATGCTTTAAATGGTAAATCTAAATGTCTGTCTAGGAAATTTGCTGTAGATATGTCTTTTACCAGTCTTATGATGCTGCATGACACCTGGCTGCCTTCCTCTTTTTATTGGAAATTAACAGGAACACAGAGACAGGAAGTTACATCATAATCACAAACTTTTACATCAGAGAAGATCACAGTAAACAAGCATTAAATTCAGCGCTATTATAACATAATGGCAGAAAATAATAATAAATGTATGTTACATAAAAATTGTTGTTGTAACTATGTCTATGTAGTACTCAGAATGTGCCCTGGTTTCCCTTGCTAGTGCAAAGGCTGCCATTCACAAGCTCGGTTTCATGCACACTGACAGCACAGACTCAGTCTAGCGGATGTCTTTTTAGATTTTATTCCCAAAGAACTTGAACAGGAGAAGAGTCAGGGTCACAGGATACTCCAAATGATAGCAAAAATAAGGAGGACAACTTTTCACTAAGCTTCTCTAAACTCTGGTTGCCCATGAAAGTCCCAAAACCAGGAGCTGCTCACTCTGTCCGAGGAACCATAGACCATTCAGTTTCCACCAGGACATCCTCCGTGCGGGAGATAAAAGATCCCTTCTGACCAGGACGTCTGTCAGAGTCTCCAGCAATAATACTTGAGCAGTCTTCACCAGGCCTTCAATCCAGCTCCTGCTGGGACCCAGACAGCAATTCCTTGTCTCACTAGCTATTTCCCAGGGGCACTAGCACCAGAAAAATTGGAACACTCTCTGGAGAGCAAAGAACACTCTAACACTCTGGATAGGCCTCCCAAGCATTTATCACCCCCCCCCCCCCCCCCCCCCCAGCTATCTTCTGAATGCCTTCTTTCAGGGATTGGTTGGGCCATGATAAATATTCATATTGGTCATTTGACTCTATATTCTGGAAGCTTCTTCCGGAAGCAGGTAGGAGAAATCAAACCAGGAAATCTTGACCAAACAAAAAAAAAATTACTGCTCCACTGACTGCAATTAAGCCAAAAACTAAATTTAGCCTAACAACCTACCTAAAGGGATTGGTATATCTGCATAAAGCAGTATACTAACACCCGCATTTAACAACTACTTCTCATATAAGTCCCATCTTCTCTCAGGGTCACCATTTGTAGATAATCTCAGGTCTTGAGTCTGCTTTAGGTACTGCATAACTCTTTAAATAGCATTGCAGTCCCTATACCAGAGTTTATTTACACATCTGCAAAGCAGTGACATGATAAAAAATAAGTAAGTAGTAATTCTGTAATTTCCAAATCTTCTGCTGATTGTTACCTTACTGGTGTCTGGATACAGAATTTTGTAATCATTTGGAACTCACTGTAGCCTCCAAACATACCTTCCTTAGCACAAGATTCCCATTGTGTACACTTTTTGTTATGAACATGTACTGTACATATGTCCTGTTTCCAAAGATTTTAATGTGTTTCAGATCAGGCTTCTTTTCATTTTTTAGCTCATTTGGAGTTTTCTCTATACCAGGTAAGTGATTTTTGAGCAGTCTGACATAATTGCTTCTCCCCCCAATTATTGTAGCCACATCATAAAGCATGCTCCTGCCACTTTTGCATAAAAGCGTTTTAATTTCTCTACAGCACCATTTTGTTCTGGGTTGCATGGTACGGTACTCATGAACATAATACCAAATTCCCTCAGAATAGCTTTTGTTTTACCACTAGTCTACTCTGTGCCCCTGTGTTATGAGTATTTTGGGTATATTGAAGATTTATTGCTTACTTGGGTCAAGTTTATCTGGAAAATCATCCTTAACATGTAAGAGGTAGAGCACCATATACACTGAGTCGTCAACAACAAATGTGATATTTTGTTTCCTAGAGACTGAGCTTTAATAGGAAGGCATAGATCTAACTAAATGAGTTGCAGTGGCTGATTACTCTGCTGGACATTTTTTCCCTTTATTTAACCGGTACACTTCATTATGTGACTGCATGAGTCATTTTTCTACCAATTGCATGCTGATCTTCAGATAGTTTCTTTATAGTTTTGCGATGTCCAAAGTGGACCACACCAGGTTTGAACACAGTTCAAATGTTTTTCCCTTTTGTCATTGTTAGCCACATCACTGCCCTTCAGCTGATACAGTCCAGTTGATTTTGCCTTTAGCTAATATGTGATTTCCTTTGTTTAATTTAAGAGTAGGAACATGAAATACATCTTTCATGGGTATCTTCCTGCAGACTGCTGAAGACAGTTTAGATAACCTTCCCCTATTCCTTCTCAGACCATATACCACCCGTTAGCGGTTATATTTATCTCTGTCCAAAGCCGACCATACATTGATTGATTTTAATATAACTGATTCCTCCATCAATGCTTTACAGAGTGCAGATAGATGAATATGTGGTGCTGGCAATCGTATTCTGACATCCAGTGCCAATGACTCCCAGCACATAGAACAGTGGCTGCATCTGATTGGATGTGGTTGCTTTTAGGATGACAATTTTCCAGCAGCCTCCTTCAATTGTTCAGTCAAAGGATGTCAGCAGGGGAGTGCTGCCTGGGTCACCCATGAAGCAAATTTTGGCCACATCCTAAACTACTGGGCATATTTAATCCAGTATGACTAGCTTTGTCTTGATCTAGCTTAATAAAGCCAATTTTACCTTTATTAGCTTTATAATCAATGCACCAAGTGAAAAATGATGAGGCCCTCTTTTTGAAGAGAAAGACACATTGGGGAGGATTCACTAAAACTGGTGTGCAGAGAATCTGGTGCAGCTGTTCATAGTAACCAGTTTCTAGCTTCAGATTGTTCAATTAAGCTTTGACAATAAAACTTGGCTTAATTCAATTTAATTGAACAAGCTGAAGTTAGAAGCTGACTGGTTACTATGTACAGCTGCACCTGATTCTATGTGCATCCGTTTTTGTAAATCTCCCCCATTCATTATCTGAAGCATCTTCTATTCACTTCTTTTTAGTCTTTTTGTTGTTTAAAGCTGGAGTGTAGGTAT